ATTTGTCTTGTGATCTTGAATATTAGTGCTTTTAAATCCTTATAGTGTGGTTATGGAGATTCATGTTGCTATTTTTCTCCCCTGAATATCTGTTTTCCTTTTCCTTGATCATATTCATTTAAGTATACCGCATAGCTTGAATATCATGGTGATAGAAAACCTTTCATTATGTATTCCTGGATAGTTCCCAAAAGAAGCATTAGATCAATGGAAAACATTTGGGTTTTAGAGTTCTGATGTCAGTAATGGGATTACACCCAATCCAGAAAGGGAAGGGAAGAGACCAAAGACTGTGATGGGTAAATAATAGGAAAATATAGCTCAGTGGCTTAAATTTGGGCTATATGAGTAAAGCTGGGGCAAGCTAACATGTAACCAGGTGTCTTTTGCCCCCTTTTTGGGGGGGGGGGTGAGGAGTGGTATTAAAAATATTCTTTGAGTATCTAAAGGAGTTATGGTATACTCTTACTCTTCAGTTGGAACAAAATATCTAAAGAAAAATTAACTACAGAAAGAGAAAAGGTCAATGTTTCAATGGTTTGGGGGGTTGTGTGGATATTAACCATAGAAAAAATTCCCTTCCCTGTTTACATTAGAGTGGAGTGGGACGCAGACCTTAAAATAGGTAAGCAATAAGGTATTTATTTCTTTTTGACTGCTCTGGGTCTTCATTGCTTTGCGAGGGCTTTTTCTAGTTGGGGCAAGTGGGGCTACCCTTTTTGGGGGTATGTGGGTTTCTCAGTGGTTTCTCTTGTGAGCACAGGCTCCAGAGTGCACAGCCTTCAGTAGTTGCCGCATGCATGCTCAGTAGTTGTGGTGCCTGAGCTTAGTTGTCCTGCGGCATTTGGGATCTTCTTGGACCAGGGATCAAACCTGGGTCCCCTGCATTGACAGGTATATTCTTAACCATTGGACCATCCCAGGAAAGTTCCAATAATATGGTATTCTAGAAGGTGATACATGATATAGGGAAAATTCGGCAGAGGAGGATAGTAAGTGCTGGGTGGGGAGTGGCAAAATAGAGGCTGGATTGTAATAGTTGTTTGAGGACCTAGAAAGGACACTACTGCCTCTACCTCAACGTGTGACAGGCTTCAGGAGGGTGCCATCTTGAAAATGTGTAACTTACCAGTTCCTTACCATAAGTCCTACTGGTACCTCAAACTTAACAACCTTGAACGAAATTAATCTTATTTTCTCCCAAACGTGTACTCTTTGCTTCTCATTCCCCTGCTCCAGGCAGCTGGTTCTGCTGACTGAATCAGGTCTAGATTCTTCTCCACCCCCACTATGTTCCAGAGTAATACAGTAGCTTCCTATGGAATTCTCACCTCTCTTCTTTCTGTCCTCCACTCTGCCACCAGAGTGGTCCTTCTAAAATGCTCTGCATTGCTGAGAGGATAAACTTCAAACTCTTAACATGCATCCAAAACTCTCCATGGCTTGGCTTCTTCCCCTGTCAAGAATTTTCTTTGCCCTTTCCTGGAATGAGTCAGTTTTCAGCTATAATGAGTTATTTATAGTTTCTGTAATGTGCCCCACTGTTTCAATTCTCCTGCTCTTACACATTTTGAGTTTAGAATCACCTGCGTGTCTTTAAAGACGTCACTCGTCCTTCAAATTCCACCTCTTATATTAGAGTGGTTAAGACTCTGTGCTTCCATTACAAAGGGCACGGGTTTGATCTCTGGTTTCGGAAATAAGATCCCACATGCTGTGCGGGTGAAGCCGAAAGATAAACACATAAAAGCGTATCACAGTCTTTGCACAGTTAGCTCTGCCCTCTCCTCTTCTATAGCGCTAGTTGATCTTTCTTTTTGTGTTGCCGCCATTCCTCTACTATAGCACTTATACCAGCTGGCAGTAACTGCGTCTTTCCATCTTTGTTTTCCCAGTGCCTAGCCCAGTAATTTGGAGGAAATGGCAACCCACTCCAGTATTCTTGCCTGGAGAATCCCAGGGACAGAGGAGCCTGGTGGGCTGCCATCTATGGGGTTGCACAGAGTCGGACATGATTGAAGCGACTTAGCAGCAGCAGCAGCAGCAGCCCAGTAATTGGCACATTGAAAGAAAGTCAAAGTCAAAGTCACTCAGTTGTGTCCACTCTTTGTGAGCCCATGGACTAAACAGTCCATGGAATTCTCCAGGCCAGAATACTGGAGTGGGTAGCCTTTCCCTTCTCCAGGGGATCTTCCCAACCCAGGGATTGAACCCAGATCTCCCACATTGCACTTTACCATTGCACTCACTTTACCACTGAGCCAGGAGGGAAGCCCAAGAATACTAGAGTGGGTAGCCTATCCCTTCTCCAGCGGATCTTCTCCACCCAGGAATCAAACTCCTGCATTGCAGATTCTTTATCAACTGAGCTATGAGGGAACCCCTCAGCTGGCACATCAGTTCAGTTGTTTAGTTCAGTCGCTCAGTCGTGTCCAACTCTTTGTGATCCCACGAATCACAGCACGCCAGGCCTCCCTGTCCATCACAAACTCCCGGAGTTTGCTCAAACTCAAGCCCATCGAGTCGGTGATGCCATCCAGCCATCTCATCCTCTGTCATCCCCTTCTCCTCCTGCCCCCAATCCCTCCCAGCATCAGGGTCTTTTCCAACGAGTCAACTCTTCGCATGAGGTGGCCCAAGTATTGGAGTTTCAGCTTCAGCATCAGTCCTTCCAATGAACACCCAGCACTCATCTCCCTTAGGATGGACTGGTTGGATCTCCTTGCAGCCCAAGGGACTCTCAAGAGTCTTCTCCAACACCACAGTTCAAAAGCAGCAATTTTTCGGTGCTCAGCTTTCTTCACAGTCCAACTCTCACATCCATACATGACCACTGGAAAAATCATAGCTTTGACCAGACAGACCTTTGTTGGCAAAGTAATGTCTCTGCTTTTTAATATGCTATCTAGGTTGGTCATAACTTTCCTTCCAAGGAGTAAGCATCTTTTACTTTCATGGCTGTAGTCACCATCTGCAGTGATTTTGGAGCCCCCCAAAATAAAGTCTGAAACTGTTTCCACTGTCTCCCCATCTGTTTGCATGAGGTGATGGGACCACATACCATGATCTTAGTTTTCTGAATGTTGAGCTTTAAGCCAACTTTTTCACCCTCCTCTTTAACTTTCATCAAGAGGCTTTTTAGTTCTTCTTCACTTTCTGCCAGAGTGGTGTCATCTGCATATCTGAGGTTATTGATATTTCTCCCAGCAATCTTGATTCCAGCTGTGCTTCTTACAGCCCAGCGTTTCTCATGATGTACTCTGCATATAAGTTAAATAAGCAGGGTGACAATATACAGCCTTGACGTACTCCTTTTCCTATTTGGAACCAGTCTGTTGGTCCATGTCCAGTTCTAACTGTTGCTTCCTGACCTGCATACAGGTTTCTCAAGAGGCAGGTCAGGTAGTCTGGTATTCCCATCTCCTTCAGAATTTTCCAGTTTATTGTGGTACACACAGTTGAAGGCTTTTGGCACATAGTCAAAGCTTAATAATTGTTAGTGAGTTTGATTTTTGGATACCTGACATTTAGAATATCTAAAGGGCATCCAGATGAAGAAGTTCTGTCCGAGGAGAGTGGTAGCAGTGACTGTAATTGACTTTAAAGTAATGCTTTTAACTCCTAATCCGAATTGTATAAGCACAGAATGGTAAAGTAAGAAAAATGTTGTGTAGGATGCCCCATTAAACAGAGGAAAAGAAGACAGAAAAAAAGAGAGAGAGAGATTAGGAAGAAACTGCCAAGAGCAGAGGATGGAGCCTGGCACATAAAATATCCCCTTTTAGAGGTCTTTAAAAAAAAAAAGTAACCAAGGATAATCTAGTCTACAGGTGCTGTAACGAAATTAGTCATACCTTTCAGATCTTATCCTGTGTATAGCTGTACTTCTAAAGGATGGCATTCGGTTTGTAACCTGCTTTTCACGCTTCAATTCATCTTCGGAAACATCAAGTGAACGTTCTCCTACATTATTTTTAATGGCATCCCACAGTAGGACCTATTGGATTTCTCAGACGGCGCTAGCGGTAAAGAATCCGCCTGCCAGTGCAGGAGACATGAGATGCCAGTTCGATCCCTGGGTGGGGAATCCCCTTGGACAGAGGCGCCCTGGGGGCTACAGTCAGTCCATAGGGTCGCAAAGAGTCGGGCACGACTAAAGCAACCTAGCACGCACGGCGCCTAGGACCTGTTGTGTGTTGTCCGAAGTTAAGACGGAGGTGGGGGTGGTGCGTGGGGGGCGGGAAGGCGGGAGAAAGAGCCTATCAAATTAAAAAGCCCTAAGGTGCCTCAGAGCGGCTTTCCAGGGGGCGCTAGTGGTGAAGAGGGCTTCCCTTGTGGCTCAGCTGGTAAAGAAACCGCCCGCAATGAGGTAGACCTAGGTTCGATCCCTGGGTTGGGAAGATCCCCTGGAGAAGGGAAAGGCTACCCACTCAAGTATTCTGGCCTGGAGAATTCCATGGTCTGTATAGTCCATGGGGTTGCAAAGAGTCGGACACGACTGAGCGATTTCCACTCACTCAGTGGTAAAGAACCCGCCTGCCAATGCAGGAGACTTAGGGGACGAGGGTTCGATCCCTGGGTCTGGAAGATCCCCTGGAGGAGGAAATGGCAACCCACTCCAGTGCTCTCGTCTGGAAAATGCCACGGACGGAGGAGCCTGGCGGTCTACAGACCACGGGGTCGCAGTGAGTCTGACACAACTGAAGCGGTTTAGCACGCACGCGGGTGCCTCGGTGCGGTGGGGGCGCGAAGGGCGGGAAAGCCGAGACGGAGATCACTGCGCAGGCGGGGCCCGGGGGTCTGAGGGGTCGCGGGGCGGCGGTGGGCGGGAGGAAGGAGCGGCGCGGCGCGGCGCGGGGCGGGGCGGTTACTCAGGGCGGGCAGTTCAAACCGAAGGAGGGAAAAGGCGGCGGCCCCACGCGGACCCGGCGTGGAGGTTGCCATAGCCGAGCATCCCTGGGGACGAGGCCGCGGCTCCTCGGCGGCACTCGGGCGGCTGCGGCCCACAGATCCCCGCCCGGCGAGTCGGCGCGGTGGGTGCGGCCGCCCCGGGGCCCCCAGGTGGGCGGGAGCGGGGACGCCAGGTGTGTGAGGGCGGCCGGCCTCTGGGCGTCCCCAGCCCCGCGCCCTCTCAGCCCCGACGCGGTTCGCCTCCCTCTCGCTCTGGGTCCAGGCGACGCCCGCCCTTCCTCGGCCGGTCGGCGGCTTCCTGGGGCCCTGGGGCCAGCCCGGCCTGAGGAGGGCCCGCGGACGGGCGAGCGGCCTGGTTGACGCACCCCGGGGAGACCGTTAACCAGCCACCCGCCGCCGGCACCTCGGGCGGGAGACGACCGCGCTGCAGCTGGCCCTGCGTGGTCAGAGAGCCGAATTGGGGCCGTTTTCCTCCGTCCCGAGACTAGCTGGAGCACACAGAGATATGACAATTGCTGCTGTCTGGAAAGCTGGGGGGAATTCAAAGTGATTTAGGTCTTTTAAAGCGTTAGAAAATAATCCCGGTAGCAAGTACTTGAGGTATCCTTCAAATCTTAGCGGGCATCGTGCTGCTACTGCACGTTTCCATTAATTGTTCAAAATTAGTTGTCTCTTTAAGTGGTATTTCTTTGGCGTGAATTTTAAAGGCAAAGTGAGAAATTTCCTTTATCGGAAGCCTACGGTAACTAACGTTGGCGTCTAAGAACTCGATTTACTGATGGTAAGATGTTGCACTTTAACAAATAAGGAAATTCGGTTTTAAGTACTCTAATTACTTTAAATACTTCATTGAGTTAGCCAGTGGTTTTTTTTTTAAAGCACTATAGAGATGTGTGTTCTTAATCCTTATCAGGAGCTTGGTTTAAAAAAATGGATGTTGAAGAGGCTTGTTTGTTTCATCAGTGAACTGTTGAATCAGTGAAACTGAGCAAGTCAACCGGCATTCTATGATTTTGCATAAATACTTTTGAAGTTTGAAAAACCACGTTTTGAGACTAGTATCTTGGGTTGAAAGTGATGAAAGATGAAAAAAAAAAATGACACCAGAGAAAGCACGGTGGAAGCAATTTCAAATGGGTAGATGAACAGAAGGAAAATCGGAAGTTTTTTGTAAGTTTAAAGCAAGTGGTCTATGGTTTTTAGCGGGGAGAGGATTATATTTGCACGCCTGCTTTTGTTTCCATCCATTTGCCTCTCAGGTTCCCAAATTCGAACATGGTGAGACACCTAGTGGTGAAGTAGAAGAATAGTTAACATTTGTTTTATTTTTTAAAAGTTTTAAAAAGGCTCGGACCTAACTTTACCAAATGACATGAGAGAAAACTATTACTTAATAAAATTATTTTCGGAGCGTAGGAAACATTCGTGTGTGGAGGTGTAATTTGAAAACAAAAAATTGTTTTAAAGTATGAAATACAGAAAGCAAAATTTGATCATCTTGGCTAGTAAGCAGATACAGAAGAGATCAGTTGATTGTCACAATCTGAGGAAATCTAAATCAGAAGAGAATATGTGTGAGATTTACCAAAACAGAATATAGGTTTTAAAAGTTGAAAAACACTTACTTTGCCCAGTAGTAATGGTCATTGCACCACAAAGAAACAATTTGGTTTTTTGGTTAGAATAGCAATTTTTTAAAATAACTTATTCATTGACATGTTGAACTGATAGAACTTAGGTGTAAGTAACTTTCCCATTATACTCAACTAACAATTTATCTTCCCAGGATCTTTTTAATAGAGAAGAATCACTTATTCGGTCTGGAGAAAACTTTAAAAGAACGATAGTTTTCTTAGTGTCCTTTGAATAATCTGGAGAAATAACTTTCTTATACTTTAAGATTTAGTTCAAGTTTATAAAAAGAAGGAATGCAGTGATACTGTTGAAAAGGTTAAAGAGCCAAGTATTTCCTTAAAAAAAGTGAAATGTTTCCTAGTGTCCTTTCTTACAAATATAATACTGAATCACATTTCTTCTCTAAGTAATGTACTTAATTCTTTATTTTCAATTTAAGAATATTATAAAGGGTGGGTTCCCGAGTAGAAAGTATTTACCAGATGAGACATGAAAGAGTATAACCTGCCAGGTTTGAGATGGCCTGTAGGGCTTTGGTTCAATTTGGTTAGCTCAAGAATATGTTACTAATTATTCAGTGAGCTAAAGAGACTTTGCAAAGGCGAAAGCCTTGGAATTCAGACCTTGTGAATGGTCAGAAAGACCAGGTTTCTGAGACAAGCCCATGTTATGAATATGAGTAACATTAATCTAGAGTTGCTTTGCTGAATTGCAGTTTATCCTAGTGGCTGCACTCACTTGACCAGTGGTCAAAATCAGCATATAGTTTTTTTTTTAAGCATCTTTATTACACTGCAGAACTCTGAAAGGAAATATCCACCTGACTAAATATAGGCCAGCACAAATAAGCTAGAATGTTAGAACTATAATAATGTACTTTAGTGCTATAAAAATTATAAGGTAATACAATCATCTAAAAATTATGCTATGAGATTTTTTTTCCTCAAGTGTAGTTAATGAAAATATCTGTGCACAGTGCCTAGACTATGCTTAGTCAGGTAATCTGTGAATATTTATATCCTGGAAATTTTGATTTTTATGATGTTGAAACACTGTCTTAAGTAAGATACACATGAGTATATTGCAGAGATTTGTTTCTTAAAGTAACTTTTTTTTATTGCTGTGCAATTTTCCATAATCATCTGTGCTCATAATGAGTATTTTGGTATTAGCTTCCAGACTATTAATTTCAAAGGAAGAATAACATTTGTTTTCACTTTGTAGAAGCAGAGATTTTGAAGATGTCAGAAAGGCATTCAGGTCAAGCCGGCGCTGGAGCCGGAAATGAGGTGGACTCTCCTATTGTCAGGGTCAAGTCCTCCAGCTTTGGAGACCTTTATTCCACATCTTCTTTTCAAGATAGTGGCTACAGTGAGCTGTTAAAATCGTGCAGCTTTGATAATACAGATAAAGAATTATTTGGAAAGAAAGAAAGAGGCTCAGCATTGATCCATGAACATCCTAAAACTTCAAGTTTGGCCTTAACCCATAGTTTAGAGTCTCCCACTCAAAGAAAGAGGTTTGTCTTCCTCAGGAAGGAAAATGATAAAACCCCAGAACTTTGTGAAACTCCTAAAGTCAGTGGAAAAAAGCATTTGCTGCGCAGAAGGTTGGACATATCTTTCTCTCTTCTAGACAGGGACTTTGAATCACAGAACAGTTCCCTCGAAAGTAGTACAAGTCAAGTTCCCAATTTAGAAAAAAAATTTCCAAGCAGTGCTTCAGGCTTTCCAAGGCAAGATAATTTTAGTTCTTCAGTTACTAGCACTTTGGGAACAGAAGAAGTAACTTCCAGCAGTCAAAAATTGAGACTTAATTTTTCTCAACAGAAGACTTCCACAGTGGATGATTCCAAAGATGACTGTGGCCTCTTTGAAGTTGAATGTATATCTCCAATTCAGGGCAGTAATTTTAAAGACTCTATCACACATGACTTTAGTGACAGCAGTCTATGTATTAATAATGAGAATACATATCCCGAACTTCTGGGCTTTTCTGTTGGTGGAACAAGCTGTAGAACAGATGAGGACATATTTGTGACTCCAATCAGTAATCTCGTACCAAGTGTTAAATTTAATGCAAGCCGAAGATTTTCTCCTTCAGCTGGAGTGAGACGCAATATTTCGACCCCTGAGGACAGCGGTTTCAGCTCACTTTGCTTGGATAAATCAGAAGATTCCCTATCTGAGCAAGAGGGCTCTTTCCAAGAACTATTTCAGAAACATAAGGGAACTCTCAAAGTCAGGGACACCATAAAAAAGTCAAGGCGTCTTGGAAGACTGAGAAGACTGTCCACCCTTCGGGAGCAAGGCTCACAATCTGAGACAGAAGAAGAAAACCAGACCTACCTCTCTAGCTCTGAATCAACACCAGCAACCGCTTCAGACATTTCAGAGAGCCAGCCGAGCAGTGACAATAAGTGTGAGGATTTAAGCTTTAAGAATTTATCGAAGACCCCAGCCTTGCAATTAGTGCATGAGCTTTTTATGAAAAGCAAAAGGAAGAGATTCCAGCAAAACGGTGCACATGAGTTGTTAGAAGAAAGGGACGGGGGGAAAATAGCTGCACTAAAGTGTGTACTCGCAGGACTGATTGGCAAGAAAATGGGTATAGAAAAACTGGACATCTTAACAGAATTAAAATACAGAAATCTAAAGCATGTTCTTGCTATGGTTTTAGATTCCTTGACTGCAGAAAGCCTATGTAGGTAAGATTTTTTTTTTTCTTCTGAAATAAAACTGCCTTTTATCACTTTTTTTTTTTAAGGTGGAAAACTTTTCTGTTTGTAGCTTTTTAAAATTTTGTTTTATTATCTCTGTCTTGGTTACTTTTACATTTCATCAAAGATGGTTAAGTGAAATTCTTCAGTGTCAGAAATTTCAGTATCTTGAATGCTGCTTCATAAGTAAGTAGAAACTGAGTCACATATATAGAAGTATTGTGGGTAGGAATTAGTTATAAGGCTAAATTGAGACTTTATACTGGCAGTTTTGCAAAGTGCAGAACTATCAGAAGACAAGCCTCATCGGTATGCCCGAACCAGGAATGAGAGAAGCCATGTGGAACAGGATTTCTGCAAGGTTATGGTTGAGGCAGGACAAGCAAAAGAGTCAGTTTCTTTTTCCATAGGTATATGTCAAGAGTTTGGTTCATTGAATCCTTACTCTTTTCTGGCCCCTACTTCTATTGAGACCCTTCTTCACCTTTCCCCCATAAACTAAGTGTAGGCTATTATACAGAATTGTAGAATTTCATAGCTGGAAGTCTTCTGAAATGTCTAGTCCTATCACGTATTTGCAGATGAGAAAACTGAGCTCTAGAGAAGTTAAGTGACCTGCCAGCAGTCACTCAAGGAGATAGGAATGGATGCAGGTCTGTAACTGAACCCTCTGATTTCTAAGCCCATATTTCCCCCCAAACTCTTGTTTCAGTCCTTTCAGCATAGTCTTGATCAGGAATGTCTTTGGTGTAACCCAAGTAGGATAATAAGAAAGATTAATGACCTATATGTCTATGCCTTAAAAAATGTTCAAGTGAGATAAATTTTGTTTAAAAAATTAGGGATATGGCTTTGATATAGGGATTTTGTTTTTACACGATGGAGTATTTGGATACAGACCAGTTAAAACTTGGGTGACCCTTTTGGGTGCTCACTTGTGGGACAAATGATATTCAGTCATACTGATATGTAAGTGAAAGCACATATTGCAATAATTGCCTTCCCTGCTCATCCCTCAAGATTTCTAGTATTTGCACTGCAGAGTGCATGTGTAACTTGGCAGTGCTTATTCTTGGAAATATGAGAGACTGGACTCAGTTGAAATAGCTGAGGCAAACACCCAACTATGCATTGATAGTTCATTTCTTCTCCATTAATGAGTGACTTTCTGCCTGTTCCTCTCCATCTGATACAAGGTGCCTATGTCAGCTTAGAGAGAGACAATGGCAACCGAGGTGGCTGGAGGAATAGTAGTGTTGACAGCTCAGGTGTAACATGGGGCCCTCCATAACCTTCTCCTAACCTCATTCACTTTTATTGATAAATAAGCACTCACTGGACATAAATTATGTTTTTTTATTTAGCTGCTTTGTTCTCATAAACTTTGGTTTACAAAATAGGAACTTTGTAGTGCTGCTCATAATACTATTTATTATAGCTGACCCTTGGACAACCAGAAAATAGGGGCGCTGACCCTCTGGTGTGCAGCCTAAAATCTTTGTATAAATTATAGTCAGCTTTCCACATCTGAGTTTCCCCTGTATCCATGGTTCAGCATCCCTGGATTCAACTGACCAGGGACTGTATAGTATTTACCATGGAAAAAAATCCACATGTAAGTGGACCCACAACCCATGTTGTTCAGCTATGTGCTTAGTCACTCAGTCGTGTCTGACTCTTTGCAACCCAATGGACTGTAGCCCACCACACTCCTCTGTCCATGTGATTTTCCATGCCAGAATACTGATGTTGTTCAGAGATCAACTGTATCTGGCATTTAGAAGTTCTAATACAGGATTGATTGTTTTTGTGTTTATTTACTCAAAATGACAGATATTTGTTAAACACAATAGTAGGAGAAATTTATATAAACTCTTGCACTATAGCTGATAATCATTTGTGGCATGTCATGTTCTAAGTTTTAAATATTAGTGTTACTTATAAGTTAAATCCTCTTAATCAGTCTCCCAGTGGACTCATTTGGGTTTATATGAAACTTTGTTTTATTTCCTTAACCATTTATAAGATAGTAACCTATCAATATGATGCTGATGTATTTTAATAGGTCTTCTTTCATAGCTATGCAAATCGAGTCATATTTTTAATGTGAAATTTTAGCTTTAAATTAACTATCCAAAATCTTTAAAAACAAGTTTCTCTTATTGCCATGTGTAAAAAATGCTAATTCTGTGGCATATATACATGAACTTGTATACATATATACAAGGACTGATCTTTTTGTTACAGTGTTTGGAAAGTGAGCAGAAATTGGCGTGAAATTATTGTTCAAGATAAAAAAGCAAATCGGAGGAGGAAATTACATATCACACAACTGAAAACAGATTCTGAGGTAATGTATATAATGCTATTCTAAAACATATTTGTATGCGTATCTGATGATCATATATGTCTGGACAACCTGATTTGGTTTTCCTGCTATTCTTTAATCTGTATTGACATTCACTCATAAGTTCTTTTTTATTCCTTTGACCACAGCACCCTCCTACAGAATCTCAGTTCCCCCAGCAGGGATTGAATGGCAGTGAAAGCCCACAATCCTAACTACTAGGCCACCAGGGAACTCCTGCATTCATAAACTCTTCGCCGCCCCCAAACTCCATCTCTACCAAGTCCATAAATGGAGTGGACTAACTGACATGAAGAGCATCTTGCTGGGTTTTGTTGTTTAAGTATATATGCTGTTATCAGTATTTGATTCCAATTTAATAGGATATGCCAGATCCTAATCATAATTAGATATTCTTACAGCATTTTCTATTCAGTCTTTTATGTGCTTCCCTAGTGTCTCAGCCGTAAAGAATCTGCTTGCAATGCAGAAGACCGCCTGCCAACGCAGGAGATGCAGGTTTGACCCCTGGATTGAGAAGATCCCCTGGAGATGGAAATGGCAACCCACTTGAGTATCCTTGCCTGGGAAATCCCACAGACAGAGGAGCCTGGAGGGCTCCAGTATATGGGGTTGCAAGAGTCGGACATGACTTAGTGACTAAGTCATCCAGTCTTGATGTAGTATACTTGTAGTATACGCTACTCAAGTATAATCTTGAGTAGATACTATATGCCAGTTGCTCAGATTACAGTGGTGAACATTTTTGACATGATCCCTGCTCTCTTGGAGCTCATACACCTGATATAAACAGGTGATTGCAATACAGGTGTGTTAGAGGAAGCTCAGAGTTATCTCTATTGGGACATTTAAAAGAAGTGTTTGATACTTGGGGATCAAGAGAAGGAAAAAATGCATCTTAGCTGAGACTTGAATAATGAGTTAGACAGGAAAGTTGTTTCAGCAGAGGGAATAACATATATGAAGGCCTGGAGGTGAGTGAGCATGGCACTCAAACTTGTAAAGCATCATGAACTTGCACTTTCTTAAAGATTTGAGGTCCAGCCCTGAAGTTATAAGAAAAATTTTTATAGAAGCCGATTAATTCTTCATGGAGACACTATTTTGTGTAATAGCTATCTGATGACTCTAGTACCCATATTTACTATATATTCAACTTTTAGACCTTACTTAGGCATAAATACAAAGAGAAACTCAGAATTAACTTCCTTATTCTAGTAAAAAGTATGTAATAACACAAGTAAACTTATAATTTGGCTAAATATAATTGAAATGAAGCATGTTGTGTTGTGCTTAGTTGCTCAGTCGTGTCCGACTCTTTGCAACCCCACAGACTGTAGCCCGTTAGGCTCCTCTGTCCATGGGGATTCTCCAGGCAAGAATACTGGAGTGGGTTGCCATTCCGTCCTCCAGGGGATCTTCTGAACCCAGGGATTGAACCCAGGTCTCCCGCATTGCAGATGGATTCTTTACCATCTGAGCCTCCAGGGAAATGAATCACAGTATAAACAAATATGAACACCCAGATACAGATTGAGGGTTTCCTCATTTCAAGGAAATATTAGGGACTTCTGTTAACTAAAGTATTGAATTTCTATTTTATTTGAAGACAAGTTTTATCTTCTCACCTATGATAATCCTTCACAAGCTACTTACTGCTGCAGCTGCTGGCTCTGGGAGCTTATAATATTAAAGATATTAATTGCCTTCTTAACGTATCTTTTTCAAGTGGCATCCTGCTGCTAAGGACAGACCAAAAAACGAATTTTTAAGCAAGTACCTATTCATATTAAGCTTTTAGCTCCATGCATCCTTACATTCTATGTGAAAGAAACATGTGGTTGAATTGGCAAGCCTTTGGGTAATTCTAGATAAAGTATTCTACTTTATATCCTGGCTACCACTTTTTTAAAAAACTTGGTTTCCTAAAGAACTCTATTTTTTTCCTTACTTGAGTTTTTCCCCTTATTTTGGTTTGCTTTAAATTTTTTAAAAAGTAAAAACAAGTACATGGTTTAAAACATCAAATTGGACTTTGAAATTTATAATAAAACACATATTTTCCTTCCTTCCTATTCTTGATTCTTGTCTCATCAAGGCAATCAGTTTCAACTCTCTAGTTCTTTTTCCTTTTGATATTCATCTGCATATTTCTGAATGGCATGTCTTCACTGCTATTGCTTATTTAGTTTTTTCTCTAAAAAAATAGTTCAGTTTTTTAGTTTTTTCTCTTATTTAGTTTTTTTAGGTTAGTTCTCTAACCTCTCACTACTACCTGTCTACCTGGCTCTTCCTCTGAAGTCTTTTCTCCTAGTTTATGAATGTAATTACACCATCATTAGTGAATCAGTATTAGGTGCTGACATTATTAAGACTGTGTTGAGATTATTATGACTTTTTGACAGCCATAATGTATAGTACAGTATGGTTATACCTATTACACCTTTTTTCTTATATAACTTTTACCCTCACAGTTAATAAGTTAATAATTGCCCAGTTTCTTTCTTTTTCCTCTCTTTCCCTTTCTCTCTCTTTCTTCTTCTCTCTCTCTTGCTCTTTCTTTCTTTTTAGTGTTTCTCTATACAGATGCCTGACTCACCATCCGCCAGAACTGGAACTCTCCTCTGTGTAAGTCTGAATAAATCGGGTATTCTACCTGTTCCTTCTTTTCTTCAGAGACATCATTCCAGATGCCCTTTGCCCTCTTGTTCCCGAATGAACTGGCTGCTTTCTACCTGCACTATCCTAATGTATGTCATTAACCAAAACAGAAAAATTATAAAACAAAGTTGTTAGATGGTTTTCCTCACATGTGTATAGTGTCACTGAAAGATCCTTACGTGTGAAAAATAAAAGGCACATGCACCAGTTACGTGTAATAGGATCTCATTTTATCTGTTTGCCTTGCAGCAGTGAGAATGAACATAAAATTGGAATATTACACTATTTCCATCAAATTTCTTAATTTACAGTAGTCTTTACTGTTTACTTATAATCATGGAAATGAACAACAATAAGAGACTCCCCTTTCACATTTAAATATTTTCTAGTATGGTAATGGTGCCTGTATTTTGAAAAATGTTGATACTCACGAATATTTGCCTTTGTTGACTACTAGACCTTACACTGTTCAGAGGTAGTAGCCCACATTTTAAGCTCTGGGAGGATAAGGGTTAGACTGTTCTATTCACTTGGCACCTATTAGATGAAATCTTTGTTAAATGAATGAATGTTCTTCTATGGCTGAAATTTGCTTTAACAATATATCTCTATTCATTTTTTGGTACATGCATCATCACTGTGTTTGCCAACTGCATGGAAATCCAATGGGTGTTTTCTTTTAGAGTACTCTTGTGTCACATGCTTCTAGCCTAGGCAAATCATTTATAGGATGTAACATAAGACGTACTGAATCCTTGAGTAAGTTCAACTGTATTCATTCTAATTTCTAAAAACCAGTATTCATCCATTACACATATGCCAATGTTGTTAAGCTGTCAATTGCATAATCCATGGCCAGCTAGCTTCATTCCTATACTTATCCTACTATCATTTCTTGTGTTTTACCTCTTCCCTCTATAGGAAACAATTCTGACAAAGGGAGACTGTCAAGGGAAAGAAAACACAATTATAGTTGAACACTCAGGAAATTCACCAGTAGTACATTTTATTTTAATAATTAGTTAAGAATGCCAATGTGTTTTAAAAAAAAAACCTACAATGTTTTTTCTTTTTTCTAAGCTTAACAAAATACAAGACTATAAGGATTATTCACTGAAAATATTTCTTGGCTAACTATTTGAGTCATGTGGAAATCCAGCTCAAATAAGAGACATTTTTTTCTCCTTTTAAAATATCAAAGCTGTTTAAACTCAAGTGTAAAAATGAATCAAGTTTTGCAAGTATTTGGTATTTGTAAAAGCCAACCAAACAAATTGAGTTTCATGGTCTAACTAGGCCCATTAATTTTCTGACATGTGGCTGAAGTAAGAAATCTTTACAGAATTCCATGATGTCCCATAGCAGATTTTGAAAAAATTTACCTCCTCTTACACCTTGGCTTAAAAGGAGACTTGATAAACTCTGATCTGTGGGCCAAATCCTGTCCATCACCTGTGTTTTTATAATAAGTTTTATTGGAACAGCCCTGTCCCTTCATTTACATATCTCTGTAGCTGTGTTTGCTAAAATGACAGTTGACTAGCTTGCAACTATCTGGTCCTTTCCAGGAAAAGTTTGTAAACTCATGAGTTAAACAGAAAAATAACCAATGATGCAAACTTAAAGCTAGCATTTATTGTTTCAACTTTGTATTTTTCTTTGATTTTTAAATGCTAGATAAGATAATTTTTTTTTTTCTTCTCTAAAAAGGAATGGTTTAGGGAGAAAATCCTAGTGGTGCAGAAACCACTTCCAAACATGACATGTGCATCTGAAAGCTCTTCTGAAACTTTTGATATGACAGTGTTGACCCCTCTTGTCTTTTACCACAGGGGGCTATATTAAATGTTGAGGATGCCGCCACTCGGCTCCATCTCTTAAATCGATCAGCTTTAAGGTCTGTGCAAGCACAGGCTAGGACACCAGGTTTTCAGAAAGAACAAGCTTCAACATTTTCTCCTTGGGGAGAAGTTTTGACACCTATAGCAAGCTCTTCTGTTACTCACTTAAGTAGTAAACAGGAAGAATATGTCAAGGTGAGTATTTATCATAAGTTATTAGACGTAAATATTTACAGAGTTTGAAATAAAGCTGTCCTCTATGCGAAAATGGAAGATTTAGTGTGTGTGCTTTTACTGCAGGTTGCCAAAACACTTTTTATTGATGAAGCGTTAAAACCTTGCCCAAGGTGCCAGTCCCCTGCTAAGTACCAGCCTTATAAGAGAAGGGGGCTGTGTAGCCGCGCAGCCTGTGGCTTTGACTTTTGTGTGCTGTGTTTGTGTGCTTATCATGGGTCTGAAGAATGTAGTAGAGGAGCAGCAAAGCCAAGAAATAGAAAAGATGTTCTTCCAGGAAGTGCCCAGAGTAAGCGGAATTTAAAACGCCTTTAAAGAGACTTTAAGTATAAAAGAAGCATTCCCTCTGAGCAACATTTTGTGTGACTTAAAATTATGAGTATTTTGAAAGCATGCAAATCTCCCCGTCAATGACAGATGATGATTTATTTCCTGTTTTGTATATATTATGACCCATGTCATTGTATGTTTTCTTTGAAGTAGTGAGTTTTGCAAAAAATCTAATTTTACTATGTTGTTTTTACTCATTTTAATAACTTAGTGTTTTTAAATAAAGAATTTTCAGTGTTATATGTATTTAACTGTTTCATGTAAAATTTAAAAACTGTGCATTTCATCACTATGTGTTGAAATGTTCTTCAGTAATCACTTTTCAAAAATAGTTTTCCAGATAATATTAAAATTTTTGAACTTGAGACAGATGGCCTTATAGATTTCAAAATCTTTGACTATTTGACTGAAAATGAAATATGAATAAAATGTTTTCAGAAATTCTGTTGAATTTATTCCATAATCTCAATCTTTCTCTTAATTTAGTGAGTGTCATATTTGGGTGGACTTCTGGTTAAATAAAATTTACTTCATATTGATGACTAAGAAGATGTAACAAATAAATTATTAGGTATATGTGGCTATTCCAATGAGAGTCTTAGTGAGTCCCCGTAAGTCACACACAGGTTGCTTTTGCCCTGTTACATATGAAGTTGTCAGCGGTGCAGTGTAGGAATCTGGACTCCTACCTCTCATCCATCCGGAGGCACACTGCCCTCGGTGTGTCTCATTTGTCACCTTGTGGTCACTCAGTCCATTAGAATAGAATATTTCACTCTGGTGGTGAAAAAGTAGATTTTACCATGTGTAGTTTTAGAAATAAATAATCTCCATGTGTTATTCTCTACTTCAGGAACTGTTAAACAATGGAAGTTTAATTTAAAAAAAATATTTCTGGCTTTAAATTGGGATGAATATTTAAATTGAGATGAGTGAAAGAGTGTAAGGACTTAATGCCATGTATTTAAATGAATTTATAATAAAAATAAAACTTTGTGAAGAGAAAAGATCAGACTAGGAACTCAAAAGTTAATGAATGAAACTAATTCCAAGCTTTTTTTTTTTAGGACAGCAGAGGATGAGATTGTTGAATGACATCACTGACTCAATGGACATGGGTTTGGGTGGACTCCGGGAGTTGGTGATGGATACAGAGGCCTGATGTGCTCCAGTTCATGGGGTTGTAAAGAGTCGGATACAACTGAGTGACTGAACTGAACTGATTTTATTAGTTTGTTGGTTGCTTTCAATTTCTAGTAGACAATTGTATCATATAGAACATCTTATGTTTATTATCTGTTCCTCTATTGTTAAAAAAAAAAAATCATTCTGTGACCTATAAGTACAAAATGTTATTTAAGTTCTTTTTGTAGGCAAAACCCTTTGTGCAGTCTCTAAATTTTTTTTTTCTTTTTTTTTTTCTTTAAGGTATTATTTTATTTTATTTTTTTTAATTTTTATTAGTTGGAGACTAATTACTTTACATCATTACAGTAGTTTTTGTTATACATTGAAATGAATTAGCCATGGATTTACATGTATTCCCCATCCCAGTCCCCCCTCCCATCTCCCTCTCCACCCGATCCCTCAAGCTTTTTTTTTTTTTTTTTCCATTTAATTCCAAGCTTTTTATTGGTAGGTTTTACAGTTGCAGTGAGGTCAAGGGGTTGGTAGGTTAACTGGAAGAGGGTCACATGGTACTCATGAATAACTTTATTAAACAAAGTCTCCAGATATCCAGAAAATAATCATTATCCTAATTATTGTAAATTATTGATTTATGATTGTAACTGGCTGGCAACAGCTCCAGCAGCATTCTGTGCTTTTATTTATGTCTTTAATTTTCTTTCACCATGAGACTGTAAGTTCTGTGATGGCCTGGACTCTGTCATATTTGATTTAAATATTATTGTATCCCTAGTACCTAGCCTGGTGCCAAGCAAGTAGCAGAGTCTCAGTAAATACTCACCGAATGGGTGGATTTGTTTTTAGCTCTACCAGTGTTACTTTATATCCAGGTAAACCATTATAATGCCATCCTAATAATTTGTTAATTTTTAATGCTTGATTATACAAAAACATAGAATCTAAATGATTTCTTCAGTTCAGTTCAATTGCTCAGTTGTGTCCGACTCTGTGACCCCCTTGGACTGCAGTACACCAGGCTTCCCTGTCCATCACCAACTCCCGGATCTTACTCAAACTCATATCCATCGAGTCGGTGATGCCATCCAACCGTCTCATCCTCTGTCATCCCTTTTCCTCTTGCCTTCTATCTTTCCCAGCATCAGCGTCTTTTTCAGTGAGTCAGTTCTTTGCATCAGGTGGCCAAAGTATTGGAGTTTCAGCTTCAGCATCAGTCCTTCCAATGAATATTCAGGACTGATTTCCTTTAGGATTCACTGGTTTCATCTCCTTGCAGTCCAAGGGACTCTCAAGAATCTTCTCCAACACCACAGTTCAAAAGCATCAATTCATCAGTGCTCAGCTTTCTTTATAGTCCAACTCTGACATCCATACATGACTACTGGAAAAACCATAGCTTTGACTAGATGGACCTTTGTCAGTAAAGTAACATCTCTGCTTTTTAATATGCTGTCTAGGTTGGTCATAACTTTTCTTCCAAGGAGCAAGCGTCTTTTAATGTCATGGCTGCAGTCACCATCTGCAGTGATTTTGGAGCACAAGAAGATAAAGTTTGTCACTGTTTCCATTGTTTCTCCCTCTATTTGCCATGAGGTGATGGGACCAGATGCCATGATCTTCATTTTTTGAATGTTGAGTTTTCAGCTGGCTTTTTCACTCTCCTCTTTCACTTTCATCAAGAGGCTCTTTAGTTCCTCTTTGCTTTCTGCCATTAGAGTGGTATCATCTGCATGTCTGAGGTTACTGATATTTCTCCCAGAAATCTTGATTCCAGCTTGTGCTTCATCCAGCCTGGCATTTCACATGATGTACTCTGCATAAAAGTTAAATAAGCAAGGTGACAGTATACACTTGACACACTCCTTTCCCATTTTGGAACCAGTATTTTGTTCCATGTCCAGTTTTAACTGTTGCTTCTTGACCTGCATACAGATTTCTCAGGAGGCAGCTAAGGTAGTCTGGTATTCCCATCTCAATAAGAATTTTCCACAGTTTTTTGTTATCCACAAAGTCAAAAGGCTTTAGTGTAGTCAATGAAGAAGTAGATGTTTTTCTGGAATTCCCTTGTTTTTTCTTTAATCCAGCAGATGTTGGCAATTTGATTTCTGGTTCCTCTGCCTTTTCTAAATCCAGCTTGAACATCTGGAAATTCTCAGTTTACATACTGTTGAAGCCTAGCTTAGAGAATTTTGAGCATTACTTTGCTAGTGTGTGAGACGAGTGCAATTATGCAGTAGTTTGAGCATTCTTTGGCATTGCCTTTCTTTGGGAATTGAATGAACATTGACCTTTCCAGTCCTGTGGTCACTGCTGAGTTTTCCAAATTTGCTGGCATATTGAGTGCAGCACTTTAACAGCATCATGTTTTATAATTTGAAATAGCTCAGCTGGAATTCCATCACCTCTACTAGCTTTGTTCGTAGTGATGCTTCCTAAGGCCTGCTTGACTTTGCACACCAACATGTCTGGCTTTAGGTGAGTGATCACACCATCATGGTTATCTGGGTCATTAAAATCTTTTTTAATATATAGTTCTTCAGTGTATTCTTGCCACCTCTTCTTAATATCTTCTGCTTCTGTTAGATCCATACCATTTCTGTCCTTTTTTGTGCCCATTTTTGCATGAAATGTTCCCTTGGTATCTCTAATTTTCTTAAAGAGATCTCTAGTCTTTCCCATTCTATTGTTTTCCTCTATTTCTTTGCATTGTTCACTTAGGAAAACTTTATTATTTCTCCTTGCTATTCTTTGGAATTCTGAATTCAAATGGGTATATTTTTCCTTTTCTCCTTTGCCTTTTGCTTCTCTTCCTTGCTTAGGTATTTGTGAGGCCTCCTCAGACAACCATTTTGCCTTTTTTGAATTTCTTCTTGTGGAGGGTTTTGATCATGGCCTCCTAAACAATGTTACGAACCTCCGCCCATAGTTCTTTAGGCACTCTGTCTGTCAGATCTAATCCCTTGAATCTATTTGTCACTTCCACTCTATAATCATAAAGGATTTGATTCAGGTCATACTGGACCTGAATGGTCGAGTCATTTCCCCTACTTTCTTCACTTGAAGTGTGAATTTTGCAATAAGGAGTTCATGATCTGAGCCACAGATTTCCTAAATTTCTTAAATTGCTTTAAGATAGTCTCTTAATAAATAGTAGTAATAAGAATAATTTCTTAATAATAAATGATTTCTTAAATTGCCTTAAAATATGTAATAAATTTTTTTGGTCTACTCATTCTCTTAGCTGATTTTTCTTATAACTAGTTAGGGTGTAATGGAAGGAACAGTTCAGTTCAGTCACTCAGTCATGTCTGACTCTTTGTGACCTCATGGACTGCAGCATGCCAGGCCTCCCTGTCCATCACCAACTCCCAGAGTTTACTCAAATTCATGTCCATTGAGTTGGTGATGCCATCTAACCATCTCACCCTCTGTTATCCCCTTCTCCGCCTGCCCTCAATCTTTCCCAGCATCAGGGTCTTTTCAAATGAGTCAGTTCATTGCAACAGGTGGCCGAAGTATTTGAGTTTCAACTTCAGCATCAGTCCTTCCAATTAATATTCAGGACTGATTTCCTTTAGGATGGACTGGTTTCATCTCCTTGCAGTCCAAGGGACTCTCAAGAGTCTTCAACACCACAGTTCAAAAGCATCAATTCATCAGTGCTCAGCTTTCTTTATAGTCCAATTCTCACATTCATACATGACTACTGGAAAAAACCAAAGCTTTAACTAGATGGACATTTGTTGGCAATGTGATGTGTCTTCTTTTTAATATGCTGTCTAGGTTGGTCATAACTTTTCTTCCTAGGAGCAAGCATCTTTTAATTTCATGGCTGAAATCACCATCTGCAGTGATTTTGGAGACCAAAAAAATAAAGTCTGTCACTGTTTCCACTGTTTCCCCATATATTTGCCATGAAGTGATGGGACCAGATGCCATGATCTTAGTTTTCTGGAAGGAACACTAGGCCACATATCAAAAAGCCAGGGTTGGTATCCTGAACTTCTTACTAACTGTGCCCTTGCACAAGTCACTTACTGATTCTGAGTATGTTTCTTTAAATAAGGGAAATTAAAAGAAATGACGTTTGGAAA